TATTTTAAAAATAAAGCTTCATATAAAATTCTTTGTTGTTTCCCCTTTAGATTTATATTTTTGAAAGATTTTATTTATTTGAGAGAGAATGAGATAGCATGAGAGGGGGGAGGGTCCGAGGGAGAAGCAGACTCACTGCTGAGCAGGGAGCCCGATGCGGGACTCGATCCCGGGACTCCAGGATCATGACCTGAGCCGAAGGCAGTCGCTTAACCAACTGAGCCACCCAGGCGCCCTTAGATTTATATTAATAGGTTGCTGTGCCTGTGCCTTTGGAAATGCCAGTTTTATCCATGTTTAAATAAGGAGGATGTTTATATAAAGGCAAAAAGTGGTTTTGGTCTGAAGATAGGGTTGAGGGGAACCCCACAGAAGCAATGGGCTACCTGATCGGTGGAACTAGAGCGTTCCCCATTGGGACTGTGGGGGTGACTGTATGCCAAGAGGGTGAAGCTACTGGTCAAGCATACAGGTATTAGAGGTGACTTGGAATTTTTAAGATAAAACAAGGCACAGAGTTTGGGTGGGTCTCTGGCAGACCATTCAGGCTTTACTCCCCAGGTCCCCTCCATGGGTATGTGCTAACTTTCCACTTTTGTCCAACTACTGGTATAAAAGTTTTAGGAAGTGTTACATAAGGAGATGATCAAGGGTTTAGTGACTTAACTACTGTTACTTTTCTATTGCTGCTAACAGATTACTGCAGCAGGCTCTGAGGGAAGATTCCATTTCCTTGCCTTTTTAGCTTCTGGTGGCTGTATTTCTTGGCTTGTGGCCCCCTTCCTCCATCTTCAGAGCTCATTACGCCAATCTCTGCTTTTCTTGTTCTATAGTCCTGTCTCCCTCATACAAGGATACTTGTGATTTCATTTAAGGCCCACCCAGATCATCTCCTCATTTCAAAATCCTTACTCATGTCTGCGAAGTCCCTTTTGCCATATAAGGTAAAAACATTTTTACAAGAAGGGAACAGTAACTGTTCCTTCTCAAGGGCTCCCAATGGACAATGTTACTATAAATGCACGTATATAATCTGTTAGAATTGACTAACACAAGTAAAATCTTCCCTATAATTAGCCTAAATGAGGTTTATTCTTAGTAAGATTTGAGGGACGTTACATTGGTGGGCTAACGATAAGATGATGAAGATGGAGAGGGCTTTCCCTTAGTCTTCGAGGAACAGCAGCGGGGGAAATCTGCACACCAGGAGTGAGTGGTATGAACAACATGTGGTGGGAAGTGTACAGACTTTGGACTGTGACCTGTATTTGAATTGCAGTTCTGCCATTCACATTGTTACCTCAGGTGGGGGATCTGGTGTGCGTGAGGTGTTTTATTTAAAAAACATGTTCTAAATGGCACAGGCACCTTGAGACAGATCACTGTTTCATGTGTGACAACAGACAAGCCTAAAACTAAGAATCCTAGCAGCTGTCTCATTGCTACATTTAAGTCCAGTTATGTGGGTGCTAGGCGTGTCCTTCTCCAAGCCCCAGCATGTTTCCAGTCCTTAACGGCATCACTAATTAGTTGGTTATTTTAAATAAAATACAGTGCGATACACGGGCTGTGCCAGTGCACAGAACGGCTGTACCCAGATGATGACGACAAAAATGGCATCAGTGACTCACACAGCGCACATGGAAACTAGGGAGCTTTATTGGTTACATATCGTGCTGCAGAGCCGACAGACAGCATTCGAGCCAGAGGATACATGCAGACAGGCAGCTTCCACTACACACATGCACCCAAGGAGCCCCGAGTCACTGCTCGTGGCTTCGCCCTGGTTTCCAGCAACAGGGTCCGGCCTCCTTGGTCCCATGCTTGGAGCAGGACTGTAGAAGCTGCTGCACCTAGACTCCAAGGGGTGGGGGTGAGACCCGAGCACCTGCCTGAATGAGCAGAGGTGGAATGACAGACCGAGGCCCCCCAGCAAAGGGGCCTCTGATGCAGTAAGAGTTTTTTGAGGGCTACTTCCCCAGCCCTCCCAATCTTTAAAATACAAAAAAATAGACTTTATTCTCTTAAAAATACATTCCATTCAGTATATGTTCTGAGCTGTGAAGCAGCAGGAAAATAGGGCCCCTTTCCTAGGATCTTGGGTGTGAGGCTTTGAGGAGAACCCTGTGCCCCACCTGGGGTAGTCAAAAGATAATCCCTAAAAGCAGCTCTTCCAAAGCAGTCTTGTCAGAGTAACCACCAACCCCACCTCAACAGGGACGACTGGGGACCCAGCGGCTGGGTCCCCGTTCCTTTACTGGAAAGGGGTAGCACTTGGCACGAACCCACTACATGTAAAGCACTAAAACTGCCCCAGAATGCCAGGTCCAAGCTCGAGAGAGACCCTCCCCACATCCGCGGAGGGGGGAGGATGAATGTGCCGACTTGGCCTGTGATGGAGGCTGGTGTCCTGGGCCCCACTGCAGGTCCCTTCAGCCCGTGTGCTTTCATTGCCAAGTAAAAGAAAATAGCCAGGGCTTCTTTGCCCGCCACCCCTTGCAGCTTTCTCGGGGCGGGGCCGGGGGGGGGTGGTTGAGTACCAGAGTGGTGAGGGACTGGCCTCTGGCATTCAGCCCTCACATACTTGCTCCATTCGTGCAGCTCTGGAGCACCAGGCTCCCTGGGCACCCTCCCGCAGCCAGCCACCTGCCAGTGAGCTGGAGCCGTGCTGCAGCAGAGGCTTGTCCTAACAGTGGGTCTGTTGGCTGGGGCGGTGGGGATAGCTGGTCGATTGGACAGCTATTTCATTACCAGGTCTCCCCTTCTCGTGGAAGTTTTCCCTAGGACCCCTAATGGTGAGGTCCAGATGGTCACACACACAGATTGCTTTTCAGAAAGGTGCCTTCGAACTTCGGAATTTGCGAGCCAGCCTTGCCAGCCATTTGAAACCCAGAGGAACTGAGCCTCCAGCCTTCATTTGCTATTACAAATGGTATCTTCTGCAATGCCGAGGACATTTAAAAATAAAATCTATTTCACAATGGTTCTAGAAAGTATGCTGATTAAGGAAACACAGTACTTATCCTGAAATAATGGTTACAATCAAACCCTATTGCACTCAGAGTTTAAGATCGCAGCCCCCAGCAAGAGGGCACCACCACTGTCCCTCCTCCACAGACCTTCTGAGGAGTGGCAGGTGTCGGTGCTGCTGCAATGTGGAAAGATCCAGACTTTGGCACCAGGAGCTACAGCACCAGAATCCAGGGCTCCAACGCCCAAAGATGTGAATTATTGGCAAAATCTTTGTAGGCATGGCTGGGCACCCTTTTGTTTCCACCAGCAGAGAAGAGCCACAGGCTTAGTTTCCTGTAACCTCAGTTGACCACGACAGAGGTCTGTTTCCTTTGGACTCTCAAGGTTGCCAGCCAGTGAAGAAGAAGGGCAGGGAGGCTAGCGGTGAGAGGTTGCAGCCCTGGGCAAGCTAGTTTCTGGGCAGTGACCCGGGGGAAGCAGCAGGAAGAGATTTTGAAAACAGCGTCTTAAACGGAGCCTCTGAGGCAGCATCGTAAGCAAAGAGAAGCTAGACAGCAATGCCCTTAGACTGGCAACACTCCAGAAAATGGAAGTCGGCGCAAAACTTTCCTGTCCCCGAAAGGAAGCTAGGTGTGCCCCAAGCCGCCTCCAGGGTCGCCCAGTCTGATGGCAGACACGGGCACCACAAGCGCGGGTTCCCACCCGGAGTGCAGACGGGGAAGACCAATCGCAAGGCACAGCAACACAAGACGGCCAACTGGTGTCCTGAAAGCCAGGGGACGCTGTGTGCCAAGTGGGCAAGGCTGGCGCCAGAAGGGCTACAGAAGCCAGCTGACCTAATCCCTCCTCTCTCAGACTAGAAAAACGAGGCCAACCGAGCTTTGCGGAGTTCATCCTCATGATGTTAAAACGTGGAAAAAAATAAGGTCCAGAAAAACAAGGCAGGGGGATAACCCCTTCCCCGAACCATCTGGATGCTACCTTCCAAAAGCATCAGCCCCCACAGGACAGTATAACCAGAATCCTCGCAGAATGCCAGATTTGGGACCCTTAGAGACCATTTCAAAGAATTCATTTTATAGATAAGGGAACTGAGGCCCCAAGAGGACAGTGACTTGCCCAAAGTCACACAGCAAAGCCATGAAGAAAATTCAGCTTTCCTGAGCCTAGTTACACTCTCACTATGAAGGAACAGTGTCTGCACCGTTACAAGCCTCTGAAAAGGGATCCCTTCTTTGAACTGAGTGTTCTACAAAAAGCAGTGCCAAGAATATACGGTTCTTTGTAACCGCGCCCCTCCCACCCCCGTGACTAGTATATGGAAACTAATCCATTTTTATTTATGCGGCTTCCTGAAAGGTTTGCTGCATTTCGCGTTTGTACAAACCTGGGGCCTCGGTAGGCATTTATTACCTTTCCTCCAGTGAAGTCCTCCTCATGATAGTTCGCAGACCCTGAGGGCCCACCTCTGGAGGAACGCGCCAGCTTGGTAAAGTGCCATACCTCCTCCGTGGGGGGAAGGAAGAGGGACAAAGTCCATACCTTTCACGGAAATACTGCGCTGTGCAGTGACTGGGGAAACGCTTCTTCCTGCCCATCTTCTCCCTTGCTGGGCACTTGCTAGAAGGCAGAGCACGCTGGGCCAGGCCCAGTTTAGTCCGGGAGAATTCCGAAGGCTGGAAACGATGGAGTCGGCCTGAAGTCTCCAGCCAAGGGAGAGGAGCGGGCAGGGCCAGCAGCATTTTTTGGTGCCCAGGAAAGGAGATGCGTGAGGCTTGTGCGCTTCCAGGTGCCTTTGGAAGGTGAGCCGAGAGCCGGGGGGCGGGGGGGATGACACCAGTCCAGTAGGTGGGTACCCGTGTGCTCTGCCCCCAGGAAACCATCATCAGCCAGGGAGCCACGTCAGAGAAGCTTCAGCCTAAAGGTTGGTCCCACAGTCCCCCAGAGGCAGCACAGACCTGCTGCTGCCCAAGTCTGAGGGACGCCCCCAGTGGCGCGGACGGCTGCCGGGTCTCGGCGGGTACTTAGGCCCCTAGACCAAACAAGGAGTGAACTGGAAGAAACTAAGCACTGAAAGGGCGCCCTCTGACCCACCAAGGAGCAGAGAAGGGCTTTCGGCTGCTGTTGTGTGACGAGGATACAAGGGGTTTCTATAGCGTTCCCCATTTGGGGGCCAGAGGGGCCCATCCGACCTGGGGACAGGGACAAGGAGAGAGGACTCATGCATTGGGGAAGGCCGGGCCTGGGTGACTTATGTCCAGCTTATAGTTTCTGATCCCCTCTGGCCAACTGGCAAAAATGACCTGAGCCACAGCCTGGTCTGCCGTCTCTCCCAGCCAAGGCCTGGCGTCCAGCCTCGTTAACTGGCCCGGCGTCCTTCATAGGGCAGGAAGGCAGGAGAGCGGAGAAGCGGGAGCAGAGGAGACGGCAGACCTCACCCAGCAGGCTCAGTTGTCCTCGGCGCAGGGCCTGGCTGGCCGTAACCGCTCCTCAGCCCGGGCTCGCCCCAGCTCTGACGGCCCCGGCTTCGCAGGCAGCTCACACCGCTCCAGAGAGTTGTGCGGTCGCCTGTGGGCACCGAGTGCGCAGTCGTCCCCTTCCTCCTGTGCCAGAAAGGACAGAAGTGAGCTGTGGGGGACAACAGCGAGGGACAAGACACGCTCACTCCCTACCCCAGGGGTGCTCTCCAGCCTGGCAGAGGGAGGCACAGTGTAGCAGACCAGAGCGTTACCGGCAGAGATGTGCTTTGGTCTGAGGACAGGCCAATTTAAACGTTCCTTGGAAACTAGGACAGACTACACCCCCAAGCTGCTGGGGCTCGTAGGGTAGGACAGGGCCTGGAATGGGGGTATGGCGCCGGCCCCATAAGCAGGTGCCCGGCAGTCCTTGCATTCTGCATGTGCAGACTGCATGCTTCTTGGGGTGAGCCATTTCCCTGCTTGAGGAGCAGGGAAATATCCTGAAAGGGAAGCCGGGCCAGGCTTTTCCTACTTCCCACTTACAAACTACCAAAAAGCCAGGTCCCTTCCCTTTCAGGTCCTATTCCTATCCCTCTTCCTCTCTCTCCTATCCAAAGCTTCAGGGACCTAAACACCGCCCCCCCTTAGCTCCTCTTCTACCAGAATTCTGCCTTTCCCGTGTTCTCATTGGTCCTTCGAGCACATGCAGATCAAAGAACACAAACAACACGAGTGAGAAAGGTTGACAGGGTAGAAAGTGCTGGATTCAGAAACAGGAATCTTAGAGATTCAAATCTTAGCTCTTCCAGTAATTCCCTCGGGTGGCCTTAGGTAATAAGGCACTTCGTGTCACTGACCCTCCGTTTCTAGATCTAAAAAATGGGGATAATACCTGCCCGCGGGGCTCTTGGAGAGACTGAGATGGTAGGGAAGTGCTTTGTCAGATGTTGAGTACCCTGTGAGGACCTACAGGACATTTCAAGTTAATGCACCGTCACCTGCCTTTTAAAAAGAAGGAAACAAGGCTAAGTCCAACATGTCCTGCATCCCTGTAGGCTCCGAATCTAAAAGACACTCCCAGAGGCTTCCCCTTCACGCCCCTGACGCTCTGACCTTCCAATGTGGTGGTGGTTATGGATTTATCTACCCTGTAATGAGCCTACTGTACCAGCCCTGCCCTCAGACGGAAGATGCAATGACTCAAGACAGCTGTCTGGGGCAAAAGAGTGACACGTGGGCATAAAGCGTATCAAGGAGGCCCAGGCTAAGCCCTCGCTCTCATTCCCCACATGCCAGCAGCCGCCGAGCTCTGCTGTGGGGACCCTTTCCCGGGCTCTCCTCTCTGGGCACGGCTTCTTGTGCTTCTAGGTGCTGCTCTGGGGGGTGCTTTAAGGGGACTTCCTTTGGCTACTCTGGCAAACCCAGAGAATGGAGGCCAGATCTCTCTTCTTTTCATGTGGCCTTCATATAAGGAGAGACAAAACCGGGAAAAGGGTTCTGGAAAGTCATGCTGCCCTCTGCCAAAATACCTTCTTCAACATACTTCATTCTTCTTCCCCAAGGCCAAACCTGCCTGATTTTCAGCAGTTCTCTGGGCACCCCAGCTCTACCCAGTATTTCCCAGCCCCATCATCCTGAGTCACACTGGCCAGAGAAAAGGCAAGTGGAAGGAGGGGAGGGAGAGAGGCAGGGGACAGGGAGAGGGAGAGCAGGGGGCTCACCGCGCCTGCTGAGTGGTTCCAGGCTGCCGCGGTGGCTGCGTCTCCCACCCGATTCCGACGAGTGAGCACCTCGGACACGGTGAGGCTACTGTGGCTCCTTCTGGAGGCGAGCTCGGGGGCGTCCCCTGAATTTCCTGCCCTTTGGGTGCCCTGCTCGCAAAGGTACAACCTGGGCTGTCCGAGGTCTGAACAGTCTGTGGCGGCCCTCTGGGTGTAGGCGTTGGGAGCTTCCACGTTTCTGCCTCCTCGAGCTGGGGGGTCTTCTAAAGAGTTCAAGTCTCGCCGACTCTTCCAGGCGTTCCGCACGGTAACATGCCTGGTGTCTGCAGAGCCCGCTTCTGAAGGGGCACCATGGCTTTTCCACCTGATTGTCTCTGCTGGGGGTGCATGGCTATTTCTCTCCACGGGGTCTGAGGGCTTGATTATAATGCTGCTCCGAGAGACCACTGTTTCTGGCCTGTTCTTCAGGGGCCCATCTCCCGTTCTTTCAGCTTCCGGGAGCTGCAAGGCAATGTCATGTTTGTGAATGGAGAGCTCCAAGGGGGCGCTGACGTGGTTGCTACCTGACGGGAGCTCTGCTGGCCCAAGCTGGATGTTGCTGGTGGACATGTGCCTCTCCCGCGGGGCCTCACCTGGGGCGGACCGAGGGCTGGGGCTGTCGGAGGGGTAGATGGTTATGCTGCTTGTCACCTTGTTTGGCCCTGGTCTGGAGGTGGATTTCTGCTTCTCCGTGGTGGCCTCCGTTCCAGATCCTCCCATGATTTTTTTCACATCCTTATCAATGATGACAGGTTTGATGATGGCCCTGGACCGCAAGGCCTCTCTGGGGCTGAAGGGCCGCTGGCTTGTAGCCCCAGCACCGTTGGTATCTGGGAACTCCACGGCATTGGCGGAGGCTCGGACAGGTTTCACAGATTCATTTTCTGTCCCAACATCTTTATCAGTCTCAAACAGGGAGGTTCTAAGTCCCCCTCGGGATTTGGCTTTTTCCCTAGAGTTGGGTTGGTGTTTTGGCTCTGGCTCCGGAGTGATGGTTGTGTTTACCAACTTGGCAGTCACGAGAGAGGTTACGTCCACATCGTCATCTGAGTCTGGCTTCTCTCTGCCACTGGATTTGATGACTCGGCACCTCAGGGCCTCGTGTGGACTACTGTCTTCCATCACAACGGCTACGGGTTGATCGATGCCTTCTTTGTTTGGGGTTGAAAAGCCCTGAAGGATGTTCTCTTGGCTTCTGGAGCTATAAGGATACTTTGATAAAAGTGGAGGCTTGGAATTTGAGGAACCGGTATCAGCCTCCTGGCCAGTGACAGCCTTTTTGCCCTTGCAGAGCCCTTCTGAGGAAGATCTTCGAGATGAGGCCAGGGACCCAATCCCCTTAGGACTGCCACAGTCTGCAGCCTGATTTAACGGACTTCCATTGCCAGGTACCTGCCCCCTCTTGCCAAAGAGGGCCTCCGTGGAGGTGTCAGAGGCCTTGTCAGCTCTACCCAGTATGTCACTGGGAACAGATCCATGGGTGGTACTGTCACTAAATGTTCGTGTTGTCTTCTCCACTTTTCCCTTCAACCCACTCTCGGTACCTGGCTTGGGAGTACCCTTCCAAGCTTTACTGTGCTCCTGAGCAGCTGGTGGGTAGCGGCTGAGCACTGAAGGCTGCTCCCGGGGCCTCCTCCCTTCACTCTGAGAAGAGCCCGATGCATACCGGTCTTCAGTTCTCCTGGTCTCCTGAGTCCCACTGTCTGCAGCCGCCCCTACGTTGGAAGCTTTGGCTGCCCTCCTATTAGTGAAACTGGGAGAGGAAACCTGCCTGTTGCCCAGAGAATAGTTTTCACTGTTGAGCACAAACTCCCTGTTTCGATGCCTCTCCCGCTTATGCTGAGGGGACAGTTCCCGGGGCGTGTGCTTGGACACAGGTGCCTCACTCCCATGGCCTCTGAACTTAGTCCTCTCGTGCCTGCCTTTGCTGGACAGGAAGGCCTCGTCCCCTGCCACCTCCCCATTCTCTAACTCTTTCTGTTTCTTGATTTGTAGCTTTATCTCCTCCAGCTGGCTGGCTAAGAGTTTGTTTTTATTTTGTTCACTTAGGTAATTATCCTGAAGATCATTATTTTTGGCCCTCATTTTCTTAAGTTCTTCTTCCAAAAATTCAAAATGTTTGATTTGTGTCTTAAGTTTCTCAATCTCTTGGTTAAGGTCTTTAACTTTGTTGTCTTCCTGATTTCGGTTCTTTTCATTTTCGGATTTGTTTCTTGTCTCGTTCTCTACCTGCTTTAGATAGTCCAGAGTGCCCTTCCTTCTTGATTCTTTGCATGGCAGTGTGTTGGAGATCCCGTCCTCAATCCGTAGGTCATTCCTTTCCAGAAGATTAGAAGCATTCCTTGTATAATCTCGGTTCATTTTTTTGTTCTGCTCCAGTTTCTGAGTGAGCTCTTTTATCAGTTTCTCATTTTCTTTCTCCTTTTCATTCAAGTATTTTCTCTCACTTACAAAGCTCAGAGTTAACGATTTCAGCTTTTCTAACTCTGACACTAAACTCTGCTCAGTTTTATCCAGGCGGTCCTCGGAAGATTCCAGTTCTTTCACTTTGACCCTGAGCATTTCCAGCTCCGAGGAGATCTTCTTTGTCAGGTTTCTCTCCTCATTCAGACTCAGACAGAGTTGGGTACAATCATTCTTACTCCTGCCAAAGGCCTCCTCCAGCTTCTCCAGTTCAGCCATTCGTTTCTGAAGCCGCTCAATCTCTGATTTCAGCTCCCGGGTGAGGTTTTCTTCCTCTTCAAGCTTCTCCTTCATCAGCTGACACAGGTCCTCCGCTCTCTTAATTTCCTCATCTTTGCCTTCGATTCTCAGCACTCGCTGGCGCAGCACTTCAATCTCCGCCAGCATGCTGGAGTTGCTGCCTTCTGCCTGAATCACCTTGTCCTGCAGATCCAGGAGCTCATCCTCTGCTTTCTGGAGGTTTTTTGTGGCTTCCTCCAACTCATCGAGACGGCGGCTTAGACTCTGTAACTTAAACCGCAGGTGGCGGCTGGAGGCGGTATCCTTGTAGTTTGTAAGTTCAGCCATGTCTACTGCCAGCCGGTGTGGGCTCCTAGAGGCATCCAGTTACACTCGAGGGGATGAGAAATGGTTACCTTTCTCTTGGCATCCACAACCTTCTTTGGCAGCTGGAGACCATGATCAGTCTATAGAAGGAAAGCAGAAAGCATGTCAGGCAGCAAATCTAACATCTGTACTTCAGCTCCCAGTTGTTTTAATTCTTGTGCCTAGAACATAGCAGGTGCTCAAATGTGTTGAATGAAATGAATTTTATTTATTTATTTTTAAAGATTTTATTTATTTGACAGAGAGACACAGCGAGAGAGGGAACACAAGCAGGGGGAGTGGGAGAGGGAGAAGCAAGCTTCCCGCGGAGCAGGGAGTCTGATGCGGGGCTTGATCCCAGGACCCCGGGATCATGACCTGAGCTGAAGGCAGACGCCCAACGACTGAGCCACCCAGGCGCCCTGAATGAAATGAATTTTAACAATCCTGCAGGAAAACACTGGTGCTTTATACTGAGGTGATTATCTAGTTTCATCCTAATGAAGAATTCTACAGAAGCCACATGGCAAAAATACACAGAGGAATGCCTCATTTCTCATCTTCACCATGTGCCATCTACATAATCTCAGGAGTGTCCTTACATTTCTGCAAATCATTAAGTAAACAGCTTCAGTTTTACTGAGTTGTAAAATGGGTATAGTGATCCCTACCATATCTCTCCCCATTATTGTTCTGAGATAATGCAGAGGAAGCTCTTGGTAACAAAGCAGTAAATAATCATAAGATTATTAAGAGCTATGACAGCTTCAGGGAAAGAAACAGATTAGTGAAAAAGAAAATCACCTCACTGGCATTAGGGAGATAATAGGACCTAGGCTCCAGGAGGGGAGAAAGAAAGGGTTATACCCCTAGAGAATTTATAATTTTGGGCATGCCTTCACTTGAGTTCTGAGTTCAAATTTACACTGCCTTGAGTGGTCTGGTATCAACCTGTCCTCACTGAGAATCTAACCTAAAATGGTCTCAGCCTGGTAAAATCCCTGGGAAACCTACCAGAGGTAAACAAAAAATACTCTGGAGAGAGACACTCTTTACCCAGGTCACACAAGAGTCCCACAGATAAAGTCCTACTGAACCTTGGGTTTACAATTCTAAATTACAAAACACATACGGAGGGGCGCCTGGGTGGCTCAGTCAGTTAAGCATCTGCCTTCGGCTCAGGTCATGATCCCAGGCCTCTGGGATCAAGGCCCGCATCGGGCTCCCTGCTCAGTGGGGAGCCTGCTTCTCTCTCTCCCTCTGCCTGCCACTCACGCTCTCTCTCTCTCTAATAAACAAAATCTTAAAGAAAAAAAAGGACCACTCTTTTACTATGACTGAACAAAGGATGCTTATACAAATAAGAACCAAAGTTCGTAAGATAGAGACCGTAAATTAAGCACATTCCAATGTTTAAAGTCATAAAAGGAAGGATATCTGATTAATAGTTACTCTCAGCAAGTTCTACCCTTAGTTATAATTACTCTGTCGTCTTCCCTCAAACTACAACTTTCTGAGAACACTGGAATTCTGATTTATGACTCACATGTTACTACCCAGCATTTTAGTTCAGAGATAAACAGATGGTATCAACTAAGATTAGATTTTAAAATTAACCAAAAAGAATCACTAGAAATGGAAAATGGCAAATTAGATGCAAATGAAGAGTCCAGTGGTTGGGAAGAGATATAAGGAGATTACAAAGGGTAGCACATACTTAAAAAGATTTTGTGAAAGAAAGGCTACTGGGGCGCCTGGGTGGCTCAGTCGGTTAAGCACCCGACTCTTGATTTCAGCTCAGGCCTTGATCTCCGATTCATGAGTTCGAGCCCGGCACTGGGCTCCATGCTGGATATTAAGCCTACTTAAAAAAAAAAAAAGAAGAAGAAGAAGGAAGAAAGAAAAGAATAAAAAGAAAGAAAGGTTAATAGATGGGGAATAAAACAAAGAGGTCCAAAAATGAGGAAGTTTAACATGTGACCCAAAAGGAAGGAACGGAGAGAATGAGGGAGAGGTAATATTTGAAGAGCTACCAGTATTTTCAAGAGTTGATGAAAGATAGGGAACTTATATTTAGGAAGCAAAGTCCCAACCAAGCAGGGTAAAGTTAAATCTGCACCTAGACACGTAAGTAAGGATACAGCAAAATACCACAAAGAGAAGCAACAAGAAGGAAAAGATATATGTATTCTATGAAGAAGTAACAAATGAACTAGCTTCTCAGCAGAAACCTGTATCAAATAGAAGACAGAAGACATGGTGCCATCTTTAAATTTCTAAGAGAAAATAATCATAACCTAGAAGAAAATACCCAGGGAAAATATGAAAAAAGATAGAATTAGAAAAGCCCTTTCAGAACACACAAAAAAAAGGAAACTAAAAACCTAAGTGTTATTATTAACAGACCCTCACTGAAAAAGCTACCTATGGATGTACTTCAGAGTATAGAAACTGGGGCACCTGGGTGGCTCAGTCGGTTAAGTGTCAGACTCTTGATTTCGGCTCAGGTCATAATCTCAGGGTCGTGGGATCAAGCCCCACTTTGGGTACCATGCTCAATGGGAAGCCTGCTTCTCCCTCTCCCTCTCCCCCTGCTTGTGTTCCCTCTCTCCCTATCTCTCTGTCAAATAAATAAATAGTCTTTAAAAAAAAAATAATGGACAAAGGACTTGAACAGGCATCGCTCCAAAGATAATATCCAAGTGGCCTACAAGCACATATGAAAAGATACTCAACATTACTAAAATTAGGGAAATGCAAATCAAAATCAAAATGGAGATCACTTCATACCCATCAGGATGGCTGCTATCAAAAAAACAAGTGTTGGCGAGAATACGGAAAAACGAACGCTTGTATACTGTTGGTAGGAAAATAAAATGGTAAAGCTTCTATGGAAAACAGTGTGGCAGCTCCTCAAAAAATGAAAAATCAAATTACCATATGACCCAGCAATTTCACTTCTGGATATAAGTATAAAAAATTTCAAAACAGGATCTTGAAGAGGTATTTGCATGCCTTTGTTCATGACAGCACCATTTGCAATGGCCAAGAAGTGGAAGCAACCCAAGTGTCCCATCAATGGATGAATGGAGACACAAAATGTAGTATATGCTACAGTGAAATATTAGTCTTAAAAAAGGAGATTCTGACCCCTGGTACATCCTGGATGAAGCTTGAGGACACTACGCTAAGTGAAACAATCCAGTCACAAAAGACAAATACTGTATGGTTTCACTCATATGAGGTACCTAGAATATTCAAATTCATATAAACACAGCAGAATGGTAATTGCCACAGGCCGGGGGAGGGGGGCATGAGGAACTACTGTTTACTGGGTATGGAATTTCAGTCATACAAGATAAAAAATGTTCCAGTTTTCACATTCACAACAATGTGAATATATACTTAACACTACTCAACTATAAATGGTGAATATGATAGATTTTATGTTATGCATTTTTACCATAATAAAAAAATAAATCTTAAGGCAGGAAAGAAGTAAACATACAGAAGGTAGGGCAGACTTCCAGTTTTTAGTCCAGCATGTAAGGAAGTCATCATTGTGTCTTAACATATAAAAAGCTGAACAGACTGAAAATTCACAACTCTTCTTAGATCCATGAGAGAAATGAGGTCACAAAAACCACTTCTCCAAAAATTAGACAAGTGGATGCAGGGAATCCTAATTTAACAGAAGAGAAATTCACGAGTATCCCTGGGAACAACTGGCACCAGGGTAGGAAAACCTAAACTGCAACTGACAAATTGCTGGAGGCTCAGCGTTGACAATTCTGTGAATTAAGAACAAGAGGGAGTCTTAATCTTGGGGGGGATGCAGCACATTTTATGAGCTTTACCTCCAGGAGCTGTACAAGAGTCTCACAGTGAAGATGAGAGAAAATTCCCTTCTGCATCCAGCAGGGGGAGGGTTAAAGCAAGCATTTTGAAACCAGAGCCTGCAGGAAGGGAAATACCCAACTCCAGCTCCCTCTGGCCATCCTGTACCACCTAAGGGGTGTGGGAGTTTGAGGGGAGAAGGCCATCAATAAAGGCCTCCTTAACTCAGTCCTTTTTATTCAGGACACCAAGTCCTGCTTGCATCAAAAAATTACAAGGCATACTAAAAGGCAAAAAACACGGTTTGAAGAAACACAGCAAGCATCAGAACCAGACTCAGATATGGCAGAGATGTTAGAATTACCAAAAATTTAAAACTATGATCAATATGCTAAGTGGAAAAAGTAGACATCATACAAGAACAGAAGTGGAAATTCTAGGAATCAAAAAAATGTTAGAAATCAAAAACACTAACAAATGAAGAGTGCCTTTGATTATCTCATTAGTAGACTAACAGAGCTGGGTAAAGGACCTCTGAGCCTGAGGGTATGTCAACAGAAACTTCCAAACCTGAAAAGTAAAGAGAAAAATTACAAAAAAAAGAAAGAAAGAAACAGGACATCCAGTAAGTGTAGGAGAACTACAAAATGTATAACATGTAATGGGAATAACAGAAGAAAAAATTTGAAGCAATAATAACTGAGAATCTCCAAAAATTAGTGTCAGACACCAAGCAGGATAAATGCCAAAAAGAAAAGACAAAAGAAAAACAAAAACCCAACACTTAGGCATATCAAATACACACTGCATAAAATCAAAGACAAAGACAAAGTCTTGAAAGAAGCCAAGGGAAAAACCACCTTACCTACAGAGGAACAAAGACTAGATAGAATTACGTCTGACTTCTCAGAAGTCATGCAAGCCAGAAGAGAGTGGAGTAAAATATTTAAAATGTTGAGAGGGGGGAAAAAACACCACCAATCTACAATTCTGTACCCTGCAAACATGAAAAAAATATTTTATACCACTTCAAAAATGAAGAAAAAATAAAGATCTCAGACAAATAAAAATTGAGATCTGCTGCCAGTAGACCTGCCTTGCCAGAAATGTTAGAGTTCTTCAGTGAGAAGAAAAAGAATATCAATTAAAAATTCAGATCACATAAAAGGAGAGCATTAAAGTGCAAGTAAAATAGCATTTTTAATTTTTCTTACTCTTAATTGATCTAACAGGTAACAGTTTGTGGAAAATAATAGCAACGAGG